AGGGACCACATTGAGAAAACATTTGAGGCTGGGTGCAGTGGTTCACGCCTGCACTCTGGGAGGTGGAGGTGGGAGGACTGATTGAGGCCAGGAATTGGAGACCAGCCTGGGCAACACAGTGAGGCCCCTTTCTACAAAAAATACGAAAATTAGCCAGGTGAGGTGGTACATGCCTGTAGTCCCAGCTACTTACGAGGTTGAAGTGGGAGGATCTCTCGAGCCCAGGAGGTTGAGGCTGCAGTGAGCTATGATCACGCCACTGTACTCCAGCCTGGGCAACAGAGCAAGACCCTGTCTCTTAAAAAGAGAGACAAGGAAAGAAAACATTTGAACTCCACAGATTGACATTCTGATTTGAACAGTTTCCCGTAGAGGGAGAATTGCAGCGGAAGAGGCAAGGCCTGCCCAAAATGCATGGTTTGGAACTCAGGTGATGAAGTGCCCTGCACCACCCAGCTTCGAGGAGATGGGGATTGGGGTTTCTCATTGCTTGACATCTTAACCACTTCACTGCGGGAGAAGGGGAGGAGGGACAAGAGAAGGACCAATCCCCAAGGGACACGGAGACCCACATTAGGTTTTGGAACCCACGCCTGGTACTATCTGAATTTGAAAGCTTTGCTCGACTGAGGCAGAGCTGATCAAAGGCCATTTGCTGTTTTAGAGTGTTCCTACATGCGTCTGGCAGACAGAGTTCCGTCTTTTTATTGCTTCCATTGCCACTAAGACCTCCATCCTCCCACTGCCCCCCGCCCCTTGGTGAGCCTGGTGAGATGGTTTTTTTTTTTCATTTTAAGTTCCGGGATACATATGCAGGATGTGCACGTTTGTTACAAGGTAAATATGTGCCATGGCAGTTTGCTGCACCTATCAACCCATCACCGAGGTATTAAGCCCTACATGCATTAGCTGTTTATGATGATGCTCTCCCTCCCGATGAGATGGTTTTAAGTCGGCACCAGCACCTGTTTCTCATGCCTTGTGTATGCAGCAGGAACTGTGAACTGGGGGCAGGTCCACGCCCGTTGGCCCCTGCAGACGTCGAGCTGTGGACGCCAGTGCTTGCGCGGAGAGCCGGTGTCTGTTGGCTGTATCTCAGCTTTCTTTTCAGGGTGGACCTGATACAGGTGTTTTAGGTGGGAAAAGCCATAGCAATTGTTGTGAACTATTATTGTTAGTCTCTGGAAGGGAAGGTGGAAAGGGGAATCTACACCAGTGAGCACAACACAGGCCGCGTATGGAGAAACATGAGGTTGCTCGGCTTGCTCTTAGACCCGGAGGAGACAGAATCAGATACTAACCTATCCTCTGACTGCTCGCAGGCTAGCAGGGAGGCGGGTGTATAAACCAGGATGTGAGCTAGAGGGGACTATGGCCGTGAACAGGAGGGGCACAGAGAACAAAGCAAGCAGGGCAGGCTTCATGGAGGAGGCCTCATGAGCTGAACCTTGAGAGAGAGGAGATCCTCCAAGTTGAGGGAACTGTGGGAGCAGTTAGACAGCTTAGCTTTTCGGGGGTGTAGCACATTGTTCCTTATGGGCTGGGGTATCATGTGCAGAGGAGGGCACAGCGAAGATTGATTTGCTCATTATGCAACGAACGTCTGGAGCTCCAGTCCTGAACCAGGCTCGAAGCTGGGGAATAGCAACTCAGTCTCTGCCCTTGTGGAGTTTGTGACTGGCAGGGACATGTTCATTAAACAACTTATTGCATGATTCACTACTTTTCTTTTTCTTTTTTTTTTTTTTGAGACAAGATCTTTTTTTTTTTTCCAGGCTGGAGTGCAGTGGCACAATCAAAGCTCACTGCAGCCTTGAATTCCTGGGCTCAAGCAGTGCTCCTGCCTCAGCCTCCCAAGTAGCTAGGACTGCAGGCACACATCACTGTGCCTGGCTAGTTTTTAAAATTTTTTGTAGAGGTAGGTCTCTCACTTTGTTGCTCAGGCTAGTTGAACTCCCCTGAGCTCAAGTGATCCTCTTGCCTTGGCCTCCCAAAGTATTGGAACTACAGGCATGAGCCACAGTGCCTGGCCTGATTCATGAGTGAAGTACCATTACCATAAATGCTATACATCCATGCATTGGATGTTAAAAGGATCATAACAGAAAAACCAGGTGTCCTTTGGGTTTTGGGAAGGCTTCCTGGAGAAATAACATTGAGGCTGAGCTTGACGTAGGGAGGGAATTACCAGGGTGCATTTCATGTGCTGAGGGAAGAGAGGGTGGCTGGAATGCAGAGAGTGAGGAGGACGGGGGAGAGGCGAGGCCACACTTGTGTTGGCGGGGATAAAAATTCTTATCCTAGGAGGGGTGGGGAACCCATCCATTTAAGAGTTTAAGGGATGGGATGGGAAATGGTCAGGTTTGCATTTTGAAAATATCTCTCTGACAGTCTACACGAGAAGTGGCTTGTGCGTACCCCCGGGGGCTATGGGTAAGTAAGTTGTTGCAGTGATCAGTAAGTATGTATCAGTAAGTAAGTAAGTAAGTAAGTTGTTGCAGTGATCAAAGTTGTTGCAGTGATCCATTTGAGGAAGGATGGCTGCTTAGCTGAGTTCTTGGAGGTAGTGATGGAGACCAGCAGATGGATTTGAGATGCATCTGAGAATCGGAGCAGCAGCTTGGTGGTTTGGTTAGCTGAGGAGTAGGAAGTGTTAAAAGTGACAGGCAAATTTGACTTCTCATTGATGTGGGCAGAGCCCCCAACCCCCACCTCCTTGCAATTGAGAGTGTTGGCCCATGCAGGAGACAGGCAGGGCAGGTGTGCCTGGCTCAGGGGGTTGAGTGTAACCCCTTGGCTGGTGATCGACATACTCTTAATGACAGATCCCTATTGGTAAACTTGTTTTTGAGCTTGCATTGTATACATATTTATTTATAAATGACATACATATACTTCTGTACTAAAATAGCATGCTCCTAATAAGGCAAATAATTAAAAATAAAATAGGATGAGAAAAAAAGCTAAGCACACATAAAAATTTTAATCTTTTTCTTCCAAACTCTACTTCGGGGACCACTACTTTTGACCATGGGGAGCCCTTAATGAGTTTTAGGGTGAAGGTGGCCAGGTCGCATGGTGTTGAGGAAAGAGCACTCTGCAATCCAGGGGCTCTCCCGTGAGCTCTGCCCAGGCCAGGGGCCCAGGGAGGAGGTGCTCTTGCAGTCTTGTCATGTGTGGCCTGGCGAGTCAGGGACGTGAAATTGTGGCATAATTGCTATCCACCCGGAAGTGATTTGGTAATGTCATGCCAGGTGTGTGAGGGCTTATTGGTGTTTGATGTTTGCTAGTCTGTGTGTGCTCAACCTACGGGAATATGGCAAGGCCTGCTCCCCTGTGGTCCAGCAGGTTCCTGTCTAGAGGGCTGAAGGCTGTACTTAGCCACGGAGAGCCTGATCTTCTAAAGAGAGCATCACGTGAGGGATATAGTGTCAGTTCTCGCAGCTCTACTACCTGCAGCGCCATCAACAGCCAATTCTGAGCTCATGTGGGCCACTCTTCCCCTTTTTTTCTGGTGGATTGATAATAATACTTCCCTACTGAACTCCAAAGACTGAAAATGATGCAAAGTGAATTGTTTCTATCTTTGCAATCCAAACGTTCCTCTTCGTTTACTTTCCAAGTCCCTTCCAGCAAATTGGTATTGCCACTCTCCCTCTGTCCCTAGGTTCTCAGGGGCTAATTCCGTTCCAGCTCGCTCCATTTAGCTCTTTCTTCGAGCCGAACCCAAGCTAGGATCTTGCCTTCCAGTGAATGCTTTAAAAAGCCTCGTTTCCCAATATACTGCGTTTCAGTTTTCCACGAGTGCATCCGTGCTCGGGAGAGGTGTACGAGCTGCCTTTACATGTGAGAGGTGAACAAATCAAAGGTGAGCCCGTTCTGCCTCAGTGAGGCCTTTTGTGTAAAAAGGGCCTTCTGGAGTAAAGCAATCAGCTTGACTGACAACTGCCGAGGCTACCAGTGACAGTCCTGCTCCGTGGGATAACTTGGAGAAAAATCAGGGCCAAAAGCAGACAAAAGGATGTCCAGAAACTGGAGGTGGGGAAGCCTGAGTGAGATCAAACAATCTGAAAATGTGTCTTCCATCCATTTAGGGCTTTACGTGCAGCGAGGTTGGAGTGGCCGGCTGAGGATGTCAACATTTTAAATTTGTCCCTGCTTTGACTTCCCTAGCTTTATCTCCCTTCAGATCAAAGCAGGGAGACTAGGAGTTGTCACTACTGGATTTGGTTTCAGACTATGTTGGTGTACCCTTGCTTTATGACCTTGGGGTTTCCCGTCTTTGCTTGGGGTGACGGGTTCATTTCAAACAAGAAGTGAGATGTGTGTTGCGGTCTTTTATTCAGAGTGGGGAGCTCTTAGAAGCACCCACAGAGGCTTTGAAAGGACTGGGAAGCAGCTTGGAGGGTCAGTTGTGTATTTTCCAAGGATTCCTGAATATCAGGAATCCAGAAGTTTCTATTTGTTAGCCTTGCTGCTCCTCCAAGGAGCCATCCTGAAGGCAGTTTAGTCCTGCACCGGGAGACAAGGCACAGGCCTGAAGAATTCCTGCCCCCTGCTGTATAATAAATCTGATACTAAAATTAGTGCTGGCCTCCTGAGCCATATTTCTTGTTGAGATGATAAAGAAGTGTGTGTGTGGCAGGCTCGTCTTTCAGGATTGGAGGATGTTGCTTTATGTCAGATAAGTGTCCAGGTCTTGAGATCATTTTTTTTATGGCAGCCTCTCCCCCATTTCCCTGCTTCCTCTCCCTCTTCTGTTTTGTTAGGGGTAGGAGTAGGTAGGGGTGAATAGGGGAGAAATATTTTAGCTTGTCTTCTGGTTTTGTGTAAGTCTCTGTCACTGTAGGTAGATGTTCCTTGAGAATCTTTTTGAAGGTTTTGTAATTGAGTCTTTTACCTCTGTGACAAGATATTATTCACTTTCTCTAAAGCGTTTACTTTATGCTTGGGCGGGGGGTGGGTGGGTGGGGGGCAGACTTTTTTTTTTTTTTTTCCAGGGAACTCAATCTCTAGAAGAGACTTGCCGCCAGGGCAGTTGAATGGCCAGCTTACGACTTTAATAGTTGAGGCGGCATCTGGGCCCCTTGCTGAACGGCCGTCCTCTGGCAGGGCGATTTTGCTTTTAAAACAACCATGTTCACCTTTAACTGCAAACGGCTGTGACGAGAGTTGTATTTAATTTTAAATTGCCCATGTCCAGTAACCCTCTGTACCTCTTTAAATAATAAAATGTTTTTAATCTTCCTGCAGCTCTGTTCTCTGTGTGGGGGCTTGCTGTTTTTGGAAGAGGAGGGGGCTTCTGTGCCTCCTCTCCACTCCCTTTCTTTTCCCTTTCAAACTCACCGGGACTTCTAGAAAATGCCATTTTGCTAAGAGTGGAATCCGGCCTGTAAAGTCTCCGGAGTGAGTGCTGGGAAGTTTATAAGCAGAGGCCGCGCGGGGTCAGTCAGGAATGTCAGCCCCTGGGGCTGAAGTGCTTCCTTTGTGGGCCGAACCCAGAAGTCCCTTTGTATTGCTGACCCATTAAAGAGTCCATAACTTTTTCTCCCCATTCCCCGCCTCCAACTTCAGGGGGGCTTGATTTGTCTGTTATAATCGGAAACAGATTTTGGGCTCCTGATCCATTATAGATGTGTTTGAGATGGATGCCAAACCTGAACCTGAAGCCACTTAAAGAGCATGTGAACATGTGTTTAGATGTAAAGGAAAGAAAGGAAGAGAGAGGATGAGGAAAGAAATAGCCTCTTCCAAATCCCCCAAGCTAGAAACAATCCTGAAATGATAACACACAAGAAAAACAAAACAAAACAAACAAACAAACAAACAAAAAACTCCATTTAGACCGTAAGAAAGCATGGGAGGAGAAAATTTGGCTCCAGAGTCAGCCAAGTTGGTGCTTAGTCTGGGATGAACAGCCCGGTGAAGGTTAAAGGAGGCAGGAGACCACACATGCCTGCGCACTCCGGGAAGCATGGTTCAGGTGGGGCCTCCCGAGTCCAGGGGAATGTGTGTCCCAGGCTTGGAGCAGAGGGTGGCAGGTGGGTGGGGCCACATGGGAAGCACTCATGTTGTGCCCAGCAGGTCCATGTTTCTATCCCGGAGACCCTTGGGTTAGGAAATATTGATGCTCTGTATTTATAAACAATCTTTAAGGGGATCTAGTACCAACACAAATAGTCAACCTCAGGCTAATCAAGTGGCCTCCTCTCAACAGGGGAGAGAAGCCCATTGCTCTGATTTTCTGGATCAACACAGCTCCAGATTTATTTTCCTTTTTAATTCTCAAGAGGGGCCTGCTGAGTTGAGCATTGCCCAAGTATTGGTTTCTTTTCATCCCTGTGGAATTTTTTTCCCTTCTTTAATGAAAGAGTCAGGTGAATTGGCTGTGCTGGGCCCTCCACCCAGTCATGGTTGTCCTGGTGACGCCTGGCTGCAGGGTTTCGAAAGTGGCCCCTCATTTCAGCTGTCCTTGAGGCTCAGTCCTGTGTTCCCCCTGCTGCCGCCACCCACCCAGCACCCGCCACCCGGAAACGTTTGTAGTGCAGCTGCTGGTCCAGAACTCGAACTGATGTGTCTCTCACTCCAAACAAAAAATAAACCTGTGTGCTTTATGGATGTGTTTTAGAGGTGCGCCTGTGTGTTTTTTTCTTGACAAGCTCATTCCCTACAGCTGTGCAGTCACAGCCTACTTTGAAATCTGCAGCATGTGTATATTTTTAAGTGAATAAGTACGAAGAGATGGGAAGATGTGGTTTGACTGTAATCCCACGTAAAACTGACCCCAATTTTTAAAAAATTATTTCATTAAAATATTGTAGGAGACTGTTACTGAGAAGAAGAAAGTTTCTAAGTTGATGGGATTCTTGTGTCTCTTAGTGTAGGGTTGACTTTTTTTTTGTCACCATGGAGATGAGAAACATGGGGCTTCATGGCGTCATCTGCCCCCACTGGGGGAGGGCTTGTTGGCACAGGTCACCTCTGGATCAACGTCAGCCTCATCTGCTGGAGATGGGAGAAGTTCAGGTTGGCTAGGGGTTTACCCTGTGCCCTCCTCAACTAGAGTTAAAATGACCTTTTTGTGCCTTGGGAAGACAACCTTGGTAACAATTTATGGAGCTTAGCAGTGATCAGTGTTTGGATTTTCTCTTTCTTCAACCCCTCCCCTTTCTGGAAGACTTGTAGGAGGAAAGGGGAGGTTTTTCTGTGTATAGATTGGTGTCGGTTTCTTAGAAGTTTCTTCTTTTCACGTTAAAAAAAATTGTTTGCATCCCTCCTCTTAGATAAGGATCCATCAACATCCTTGTTAGAGCCCAGTGCCGAGGGGACCCTGGGGCACGTACTGTTTTCAAGGTTAGAGAGCAACAAACTTTCCGAGTAGCCAGAGTTGCAGGGGAGGAGGGTTCTTTGGGTTCAAGGTTACCCGTTTTTCCTCTGCTAGGAAGAAAGCCTTTTTGTTTTCTTTTGCCGACTTCTTCCAATAGCTTAGAGCAAATAGATTAGCAACCCAGCAGAAACCAAACCAAGGAACAAATAAAGGGGAAGTTCGCAGAGGGCCCTTGGCTGGGGGCTGGGGGCTGGGGGCTGGCTGCTGCCGAGGAGGCCAACTTGCGGTTTTCCATTTTCACGTTGAACCGCGTTGTCTCAGCGTTCGCTGGTATTCACAAAATCAGAACGAAAGGAAGGTGGTGGTGGGAGGGGACACTTTTCAGGAGCGGTCGGGGTGTGGGGAAAGTATGCCCAGCTGCGTGTTATTAGCAGCCTTCAAATAAAGTTTATGGAAGGTTCTGGCCCCCACAGCCATGCCTGGGAAGCTTCTGCGTTCTTAGTAGGTGTTTTGAATTCTGTGAGATGGAACTGAACATTTAAAAACAGTTACAGGAACATCTCCCCAAGTAGGTCTTCCTGAGAATTTCTGTGTACATGGAACTCTGTTTTCCTAGCAAGCATCATTGTATTTTTAGAAATGTTTTCTTTTCTCCTTGCCCGTCAGTTAGCCAAGCCTCCTACCACTCACTTTCTGTTGTGTAGTTCTGATTTTATGAACAGGTGTTTGGATGATGAGGGGTTATATTAAAAAAATACTAAAGAATACGTCTTATCACGTGAATCAGTATCTTTTTATTCAACGTGGATGGAGTGGGAGTGGAGACCAATCTGTTTTATATTCCTACAATCTGACGAGGGTAAGAAAAAGTTCATGCTGTTCATATTAGCTAGCCAGCCTCTTTCTCTCTTTCCCTCCCTCCCTTCTTTCTTCTTTATTTTTTCTTTCTTTCCTTTCTTTTGCCTAATACCTAATTCCTTATCTCATTTCTGGGATTTTGAGAGAATAATTTTCACGTGGGGCGACAGAACTAGTGGTTGTAGTTTCGCTTGTTTTTTTGACATTAAGGAAGCAACTTTTTTTTTAGTCTTTTTTTTTTCCTCAGACTGAGCACACATTTTAAGTGTTTTAGGGGGAAGCTCTGAAGGTGGTTTGTGGTGATATTTTTTAAAATGTTTTGAAAGCTTTAGTCTCTCCTGGAAGCTGTGTGTCCCTGCATTTTCCTCGACGGTCGCTAATAAGAACTGCTGGTCGAAATCAGTGTCTCTGAGAGTCATTGATTCACTAATTGCTCATCATGGAGTCCTGGCTTCCCCCTCCTGCTGAGAGCACTTTTGTTTTCTGCTATTCTGCAAGGAATTGGACAGATTTCTGGAGTGTTTAAGAGGTAACCAATAAAAGAGTTTGGCGTGCCCCTGTTGGTAATTGTGCTTCTCGGAGGTGACCATGTCATTGGTATCTGGGCTTCGTAAACAAGGGGCTGCCTTACCAGTGACCTTTCCCGCCTAAAACCGAAGGCCCCAAGGTCGCTTGTCTGATGGAGAATGTATTTCCCGGCTCACTGTGAGCCTCCACTTAATTTGTTCCTTTCCTAAGGCAAAATGACCTTCCGGTAAACCTACACCCCCCTACCCCCCCTTATTATTATTTATTTATTTTTCTGGTGAACAAACGGAATTAGGAAAGGTGTGTTCTTTCAGGAGAGAGCGGGCAGCGTGGGAGGAGACGGCAGTCTGGCTCATTAAAATGCCGAGGTATGTTTAAGCTGTTTGCCAAGTGTGGGTCCTGCAGGTCAGCGTGTGATGGCCAGAAACAAAGCAAGGCCTAGAGAGAGGCTGGCCTGGAGGCAACTGGCTCGCACCGCAGAGGGTTTTGAAGCCACATTTCTTCATTGGAAATTTAAAAAGAAAGAAAAAAAGCAACCCCTTTTGCTCCGTATTCATCATCTCTATAGTACCCCACAAATAAGTGGTCTCAAAAGCTTTTTTTTTTTTTTTAATTTGCTGAACCTTTCTAATAGGACCCTTTCTGAGGGCCCCATGAGCCCAAGAATGCCTCCTTGCAATGTTAGTGTGGGAAATTAGTGCAGGCCCAAGGAAAGGAAGTGTGAAACTGCTTCCCTCAGTGAACACGCAGCCTGGCGAGGCTGCCCTGTGTGTCTTGGAAGCCCCGCTGGGCCTGAGTTTGGGTGCCGTATGATTTGCTGGGCCCAGCACCCCTTCCATGGGTCCCTCTCGGCCAGCCTCGAGGAAGGGGTGCAGTGGGGGACAGAATAGTGTGTGTTAGGGGCCATCTGCAGACGCAGGACTGCCGCGTCTTACCATCCTAACTTGTTGCTTAGTCCCGGAGTCTTGAATGTTGACTCTCCTGGGCTTGGTTGGCCGCTGCTGCTTTCCTGTGGTTGTTGGTTTGTGTTAGGTGTTTGGTCCTCTGGTTTGCTTTGGGTGTTGGGACTTTAGCTCAGGAAAGAGGCCTGTGGTGCTTCTCTGCCTTTCGGCTCCTACGTGGGGCATTGGAAAGCCCTTTCCCTGCCTGGTTGAAACCTTCGCAACTGCACACCTGGCCGACCTGGCAGTCAAATGGATTCCATTGCAGCCCCCGCCTAGAGGGGAGCAGGATGTCTGTTTCGGCCAGTTATGAATGAAATCAGAATTCCTGTGCTGGCAATGCCATTGTGCATAAGGAGTGCAAGGAACGCACTGGGCCATCTTCCCGGGGAGACCCTATGGATGAAACAGGTGTGGTCAGATGATCCCCTGGAGACAGCAGTAGTGGAGAGTGTGGGAGAGCAGGCCGGGGCGGCACCAGGAGGAGCAGGAGGAGCTCCAGGAGGATTCTCGGCCTCCTCCTCCTTTATTCCTCCATCCCTCTGTCTGGGGTGGGATGTTTGGGAGAAGAGAGGTAATGTGGTATGGTAGATAGGCTTGTTCTTTGGAGACAGTTCTGGGATTGAATCCTGGCTATGTGACCTGGCCAAGTGACATAACCTCTCTGAGCCTCATGTGTGTCACCTATAAAATGAGGATAATAAAACTTGTGTGGCAGCTCTGAGAACAGATAGAACTTTCTGTAGAGCACGTAGCACAATTCCTGGCATCTATTAGGTGCTTAGTCAGTGTTGATTATGCAGCCAGCCCGGACCCAGCTGTTGTCGCTGGGACAGGGAGGAGGTAGTGCAGTTACCAAACCCTACACCATTGATTTTGCTGCTTTGGACTGAGAGGCCCCAGTGTGCTGTTTAGCCTTCTAGGCCTGAAAGGTTAGTTGTACCCTCCTGACTTTCTCTGCAGAATCTTCCCCGTAACCTCCCTGGTGTTTGCTGAACTGAGAGTTAGCCTCACAGAGTCCCTGCTTCTCCTGGGTCGGCTTCCTTTTCTCTGGCCTCTGCCTGAGAGCAGCGTGCACCGGCGACTGAGGGAGGTTGGCTGTAATCAGCACAGACCCTTGGCTCTCAGCTGAGGGTGGATCCCAGTGTCTAGATGATAGATGGTGCGGTTTGGTTTCTAATTCCTGCTTGATTTAGAGAGGTGCTGGGAGTGGGTGGTGATAGAGGGAACGGAGGCCGTGGGAAGGCTGCGAGTGTGAGCGTTTGATTACCTTCAGTGCTCTAGGCCAGGGGTTCACAACCTTGGCACTGCTGACATTTTGGGCCAGATTATTCTTTGTTGCAGGGGTGGAGTTTGGGGAAGAGGGGGTGCATTGGAGTGCACTGTATCTGTGGTAGGATGTTTAGCAGCATCCCTGGCCTCTACCCACTAGATGCCAGTAGCAATCCCTCCCTGGTTGTGACAGCTAGCAGTTGCCATATGTGTCCTGGGGACACAGTCACCCTGAGATGAGAATCATTGGTCTAGCACTCTAGGTCCCTTCTCTATAAGAAGGGAGAATATTTGTATGTGTTCTGAGGTTCTGTTCTGCATGGATTGGAACCTGGACAATGAAATAGTCATGAAACTCAAGAGCAGGAAAGTGCCTGGAGAGATTACCTGGTCCAGGCCCCAGCCTCCCACAGGTGGCTAGCCACATGCCCTCGGTTTGATTTCCACGGCCCCTGCTGGTCTTCCCTTTTGGTTATGTGAAAGGGCAGGGAGAAGGGACGTTTCCACCCAGGCCAGCGTCTCTATGGAGCTTTTCAGAGTGGGAACTTCTTTTAGCAGAATGACTCTGCACTCCTGGGTTCTTGGCAGTCCTGCGTTTGGGCCTCTAGGAGTTTGGTTGCAAGCTCATGAGTTTGATCTGCTCTCTCATCCCTGGCACACACAAATTTGTCATTCAGAGGAACTGGCTTTTCTGCATGCACTGAATGGACTTTTATTTGAAATGAATTCATTAAAAAAAAAAGAAAAAAAAGTTTTGCTTGCCAGGACTCTGCCATCCTCTCTTTTCCCTTTTATTTCTCTCTGTCGTCTGTAAGATGAGCCTGGAAGGAGCCGTCTGGTGGGATTGGTTGGCCAGGGATTTTTCTAGGCCCTGATTAAAGGTAAATTATCAGATGAAAGTTGGAGGTTGCTGCTGTGCTTGTAAAAAAGTCAGTTGTGTGCCATAAAATCCATCACAGCTCCCTTGGTGAGAAGGAGGAGGCCGTGAAACACTCAGTGATGCTCGTTCGGCTCCCAGGGATTTGGCTCCCCTCTGCTGCAGGAGTGCTGCCCGGCAGCCCGGTGCGCCCTGCTTTTGTGAGAAGCTCGCTGAATCGGATCGGTGGGAAGCTCAGAGACAGAACTGTGTGTTGCCGGCAAGTTGCCACGAAGTAGTTTTAGATGTTGGACTTAGGAGAACCAGATAGCTTTATGGAGTAGAAGTGGAGCCTATGACGTCTTGGTGACTTTTGCCTCTCTTTTGCTTAGAACCAAAGAAGGTGGTTGTCCAGCTGGAGAGGGTGTGGGTGTCGGGAGTCTGGCCTTGGAGAGGCGGCATAGCCCGTGATTGACAGCATGGATGCAGGGACCAGACTGCCTAGCCAGTTACAGAGATGGGACTGTGGGCTAGTTATTTAATCTCTCTGTGCCTCAGTTTTCTCATCTGTAACATGGGGATGAGAGTAATAGTACCTACTCTGGGATCATCTTGAGGAATTTGTGCAAGAAAAGGGCTGAGCCTAGAGCCTGGCCAGGGATAAGGAAGTCATTCTTAATTATATTATCATTGGTTATACTACACTTTTTAATTTATTTTAGTTTTTCTTTTTAGAGGCAGAGTCTCCCTCTGTCACCCAGGCTGGAGTGCAGTGGTGTGATCATAACTCACTGTACCCTCCAACTCTTGGGCTCAAGCAGTCCTCCCACCTCAGCCTCCCAAGTAGTGGCACTGCAGGCACACACCGCCATGCCCATCTAATTGGTAAAATTTTTTGTAGAGATGGAGTCTTGCTATGTTGTCCAGGCGGGGGTCTCCAACTCCTAGCCCCAAGTGATCCTCCTGCCTTGGCCGCTCCAAATGTTGGGATTAAAAGTGTGAACTACTGTCCCTGGCCTGGTTATATTATTCTATAATGGATGGTTAGCCTGGCTCCAGAGGCTTTAGGAAAGTGCTTCTTAGACTTTACTATGCAGAAAAATCAGGTGGATCCATTCCTGGGCTTGTTGAAATCGGAGTCTCAGTCGTGGGGCCCAGGACTCAGTGTTTAATATCTCAGGTGGTGATACTGCAGGGAGCCCGCATATAACCTGGTGATTCCTTCAATGGCAGTGTTGGTCAGGCTCTTAAAGAATGAAGAGCCCCCGTGTCATCACAAGCAGAAGTGTCTTCCACCTTGGATTATCTGGGAAACAGTTCTGCCCACGCTGGGGGGGCCTGATTTGGGCCCCGCATCAGTGTCCTGGGTGTAAACCTCTGCGAGATGCCCCTGGGTGTCAGGTC